AATTATTGTGGGGAAGTTTTAAATCGTCATATTTCATCTAGAAGATAGTTTTGAATTATTGTTGGGAAGTTTAAAATCGTTACATTTATGTAGAAGTTAGTTTTGAATTATTGTGTTGCGAACACATTTCGTGGTGCCAGGTTCGATCCCAGCTGCAGACAGTTTGGCAGCAGAACTTTTTTAATGGAATATTTCATGGTGGTGACAGGTTATCTTTTGATGAAAGTTATGGTTATGTTCCAAGCAAAGACAGTTTTTTTTTAAAGACAAGCAGTTTTGACTGATTATGTTTCATAACAAGCAGTTTTGACTGATTATGTTTCATGACGAGCAGTTATGACTGATTATGTTTTGTGATGAGCAGTTTTGACTGATAATGTTTCATAACAAGCAGTTTTGACTGGATGTTGAATGAGGGATATAAACAGTTTTTACTGCATGTTTAATGAGGGATGAACAGTTTTAAACGGGAAGGATAGAGGACTTTGGGGGCAGTGAATCCACATCATACTGAGGGGAGGATCCGAGCAATGATGATAACCCAACTAACTGAACAGTTTTAACTTTATGTTTGATTAGGAAGGGATGAACAGATTTAACTGGATGTTTAATAAGGCAGAGAGAAACAGTTTTGATTGGATATTTTATGAGGGAGAGATGAACATATTTGACTGAATGTTTCGTTATATTACCGAGATAGTTTTGACTGGTAATGTTTCATTAGAGACAGTTTTGGCACTTTTTGTATCATGGAGCCATTTGATTGGTTGTATCATCTCAGCATATATGTATTCTAATTTTTTTAAATTTTTCAGAGAGACTATTGACTGTTTTATTTTGAAGAAAATTGTGTACGTTCATTTCATAATGAAGAAAGTTTTGGCTGGTTTCGTGGTGAACATTCTGAATAGTTGTTTTGAGTCAGAGTCAGTTTTTAATTGGTTTTGTTTCACAACAGACAGTTATCACTGAACTGGTTAAGCTTCACAGCAGAGACAATTTTGGCTGCTTTTCTTCGCAAGTTTTTACTGTTCTCCCCCCCCCCCCACAGCAAATAGTTTTCTGGCTGGCAGTTGTAATCCTTTTGCCCTGATTATCCAACACATCCAGTTGGTACCATTTCCCTGTGAAAGCCACTTTCTGACTCCATAGAGAATGTTTATGAGTTGTCTAGGTAACAGAATGCATTGCCAGGAATGCTATACTGGTCAGCAAATGTCTGCAGAAGTAAGACCTGTCAGGCACAAGGCACAGATATTGCATCCATGCTGTACACAGACATTTTACAATGACATCTTGATGGATGAACACAGCAGAGGAAAAATTCATTGCATCGGCACAACTGTTCTGGATGACTAAAATTAGCATTTAGGGAGTTTCCTGAAAAAAAAAAGGCTTCATTTATAGGTTTCTCCTGCTTCGGTAGTTTCTAGATTTGACAATATTAGATAGATTATCTGTCACATAACTAAATGTATGCCAGATTTGTTGTTTGCAGTTCTCGGTTTACTACTTCAAGTTCATTTATCATTTGATATAAATTGACATTAATTTTTTTTTTATAGAAATTCAAACACTGTTGATTTCAAGAATATTGCATTTGTTATTAGGCTGTACTGTTGCAAATTCTAGTAAATTAATGTCTGTATTCCTGTGTGGTACTCTGTGGCTAAGTCGATGCAAACGCTTCATAATGCTGGGGTGCCGGGTTCGATCCCAGCTGCGGGTCATGCGCCTTGCATTGCTTTCAAAAGTGGTATCAGGGGCCAGAAAGCAATGGCAAACTACTGGGCGTAAATTTGCCTAGAGAAACCACACAACAGCCAGGGGCTGCTAGGGTTGGTTCTGCAACGTCCTGTAAAGGATATGCAACTAACCTTTATTCCTGTGTGGACACCACTGTTTTTTTTTTTTTTTTTTTAGCAGTGTTCATACTATATATTTTTGTGCCTCCATGTACCTTTCGGTGACCTAGTTCTGCAGCCCTCAAGTTAAAAGACCATAATTGCATATAAGTTGACCTCCTCTAAACATTCTATCAAGCCAGTAAGAATAAGGCCAGTATTCCTCAACCTTTGAACATCCATTGCCCACCCAAACTGACACCAAGTACTGAAGTGAAAACATATTTAGTGGCAACTTCCTTGTTACAGTTTTCAGCTGATGCAACTTCTATTGCTGCTTAGAGGTTGGATATGTGGCTGGAACATTGTTTCTGATTGAGAAGTGCTACAAGAACATCTATTTGATTTCAATTTCTCTGTTCTGTTTTTATTACTGAATGGCACAAATAGAAAATACAAGAAAACAGACAATTTAATAGCTCTATAACTCAAGATTCTAAAACATGTGAACATCAAAGAAGACTTGCTAATATAAACAGTATGTTGACTCGCAAACTGAAATAGTTTGGTCTTATTAAGTGCCACGATGAATTGGGAAAAAAATAGTAGCAGAAGGCATGGTACCAGCAAGAAGTGACAGAGGCTAACACCTTTGAATGCTCACATTATGTTGAAATCTTCCAATATTGGAACATATATCTTCCCATTGCACGCAATTTCCCAGAAAGCCAGCGTTGTCACATCCATTTTTATTTCTCATTAATGATATTGTAACAGTCTCTAGGAGCTAGTAGTTAAACTTCCCTGTTGGGCAGAGGTCATAGCTCTCCATGTCTAGCCATTCATTGCCACCTGTTTTAGTATTAGATGTTTGTTAGGCCCATAGTTGAGCGTTCCCTGGCGATGGTTCTACGCAGTCTCTCTCTCTTGGCCTTCCCCATTTTCTGTTCCCTTCCAGTATCCTTGTGAAGGCTTGATGGGGAAATCTTATCTTAGCCATTCTGAGTGCATGGCCGATGTATCCCAGCGAAGGCTTTCTTATAAAATTTTGGGAATTGAATCTGAAATTTGTCCAGTGGAAATTTAGTATTCTTCTAAGAAATCTGTTGTCAAAAAACTGTTTAATTGTTAATCTAGGGCTACCATTGCTTTCTCACTCTCACATTCATAAGTTAGGACAGGAATCACACACGAGTTTGAGATCTTAAGTTATCTCCAGAAGATAGCTGTTAACTGAGGTTAAATGTCTGCCATATATGATACTCAACACAGTATCAGAAAACAAACAATGTGGACAGGCCCAATGAGTTGTGTATTGAATGTGTGGACAGGTGGAGCTGACAATATATGGATATTATATATGTCTCTAAAATTCCGGCACCACACTCACTTTGCAGCATTGCAGGAATCTACAGCCACCACTGGAGTTATGTCCTTATTTCCTACAGGCCACGTAACTATGAGGCGCCTTACTATTGCGGTTGAACAGGGTCTCCAGTATTTGCACCTGGTTGAATTTCATCATTGAAGTGTTAATCTTACAGACCACAATCCTGAAAGAGAAAAAACTACCTGCCCTACCCTGTTACATGTTACAAATGTTTGGCAGCCCACAGGTTGGACAAACACTGGTCTGGGCCACTGCATCATAATTCTGTCATGACGCTGCTTGTAAGACTCTATTTGCTCCTTTTTCATGACCTGAAAGGCACTTAGTTCAGACCCACACTGGCAGTGGAGAAGTAGACAAGCCAAAAATCAGGGAAATCAATCATATAAACCATATTACATCTGTGTGAAATTAGGATTGCAATACCTGTTCTGTGGGGTACCAACTTTATATACACATTTGGAGAGGACTCATTCAAGTTCCATTTCTACTGCAACGTTTTTTAAACAAAATGCATCCACAAGCTGAAATAGGCTGTACGCAAACCTTTCCGATTTTTTTGCCGACCACAAACAACGTCACTGGACAGTCCAGTATTTCAGAGGGTGGTAAGAGTGGGTGTTCTGTGTTTAGCGCATTTCTCCCGAAGTCAAGGTTTTTGCACATTAACCTAACCCTAACCAAAGCTATATGCTAATCTACCACCACCCCCAAAATATTTGTCTGTCCCGTTGCTAATTAGACAGTACCTTATGCAGTTGCACCTGCACATTTTAGGCAATAGTTTCCTTATGAAAATGCAATAAAGAGGATCACTACCCACAGGTTGGTCCTGGAATTCTGCTAACTTACTTTGTTCCATCCAGTTTTTGTGCAGGTTATGATAATCTATTATAAATAAATGTTTACTTGCATTTGTTTTAACTGCTTATTTAAGTCAATTTCATTTTAAAAGTTGTATTAACACAATCAACACAACAGCATTATAAAACTCTGAACCGTTTATTTGTGTTAGTAAACTGAATATTATAAATGTTCTCTACACAAGCAATCTGAAAATGTTTGCTATGAAAACCAATCAATCACTTGCTAATGAGACCTGCTTGTTTGTTCATTTAAAAAAAAAAAAAATCACACAGACAGCTGTAATCAAAGCCTCTTCTTACTCTAAGGCATTTTTTTGACTGCATGTTAGCACTCACTGAGTAGAATAGATTAACATTTTCACCTCTGCTGTAAGAATGTTACATTATGGTTGACATTTTCCAACTCATTGTCGAAGTAACAAGAGGTTCAAAAGCACTGAGTTCTACAAAGAGAACTCACTAGAATAAAAATGTCAGTGTGAGAGAGGAAAAATGCTAAGCCCAGTAATGGACCAGTCTGACATATCAAATGAATTAAGTGTGCAACACACAGACACACACACAAAAAAACTCAAGGGACAAGAACTAGTGTACAATGTGAGAAATCATATGATAAGATTTGTGTGTTGTTATAGAGCTGACATTTGATGTGAATAGATCACCTGTAGATTCATGCTCTGTGTGCATGCATCTCATTACAGCAGACAAGAAATGTTCACTGACATCATTAAACATAGCATTTAACAAATAAACTGCTACTTCAGACATCAACACTTTAAGCATCAACATAGACACATATCCAGGAACAACTAAACATAAAAACCGGACACTAACACAATTCCCAATAATGAGCTATAGTTTAGGGGACTGACTGAAGCTTGTGTTCAATCTGTCATGAAGTCAGTCTGCACATTCAGCCAGGGCAGCCTGCAACTCCTCGTCAAGTTCTGCCGCAGTTAAATCCAATTTTTGTTGTGCAAACTCGCTGAGGCTGAGGCCTTGAACAATTGAATAGTTTCTGTTCTTGATGCGCACAGGGTAGCTGAACATCAGACCTGCCTTGACACCATATGAGCCATCAGAGATAACACCCATAGACACCCAGTTATCCTAAAATGACAGAGAAGAAGAGTGCATTTACTTATACAATAGTAATTGTGATGTGATGATTACATCCACAACTGGTGACATCATTTCTCATGTCACAACCACACAGGTTTATAGTAGAAGGCAAGACACTCCACTCCTCCCATGGTTGAAATGTTCAGTAAATGGTCAGTGGCACTTTCTCCTTATAATTCTTTCTCAGAACATCTTGCTGCCTAATTGATGAAGCTGAGATAAATGTGGAGGTTCTACTCATACATACCAAGGGCTCACGTTACTAAGATTTTACTGAGAATAATAAGAAACAAAATTACACCAGAAATCAGCGATAAACAATGTGGATTTGTTGTTGAAGGAAAAGGTACAAACTATGCCATATACATCATAAGCTTCATAGACTATACAATAAGCATTTGACTGTGTGAAGCATGAAGAAGTAATCAAACTGTTAGAAAAATTAAACATTGATGGAAAAGATCTACGAATAATAAAGAATATGTATTGGCAGCAAACAGCAGCTATAAGAATTAACAACTGTTTAGGTACATTTCAAAGCATAAAGAGGGGCGTACGACAAGGATGTGTACTGTCACCTAATTTGTTTTCAATATACAGTGAATATATAATGAGATCTTTAATTGATATGCCCGGAATTGTGGTTGGTGGGTACAATATAAACAATTTACGCTATGCTGATGACAGTTTTGATAGCAACAAGTCAGAAAGAACTACAGGAAATGATAGACATTGCGGTGTTAGAAAGTGGAAGAATGGGCCTCAGTTTGAATAATGGGAAGACAGAAGAAACGAAGTATTCCTAAATGTGCAATAAAAGTCGCTGGTGTTATATTGGGACAAGTACAGAAATGTAAGTATCTGGGCACATGGATAACATCAGATGGAAGATGCATAACTGAGATAAGAAACAGAATAGGACAGGCAAAGACTGCATTTTATAAAATGAATAACATCTTATGCAATATATCCTTGTCATTGAGAGTTAGAAAAAGAATTCTTGCTTGCTACATACATCCGGTTTCAACATATGGATGTGAATCCTGGACAATCGGTGGGCAGGCCAAGCAAATTTCTTGAGGCCTCAGATATGTGGTTTTACAGAAGAATGCTTAGAATACCTTGGACAGCCAAAATGAGCAACCAAGAGGTTTTGAAAGAGGCAGGAGCCCGAAGACATCACAGACATCAGAAGGAGACATAATTTTTTGGCCATGTTATGAGAAGAGGGAAAATAGAACATGTTGTGACCACTGAAAAGATCTGTGGAAGGAGGGATAGAGGAAGACAACGAGAGAAGATTCCTGACAGTCTTGTTGCATGGCATGGAGGTGTGTCGGCACACGAACTAATACATGCTGCAGGAGATTGCAGATTGTGGAGACGCCAGTCAGCAAGGCACCTGATGATGATGACAACCAAGGGCTCATCAGCACAAGTTATGCTTGTATGGTTTTGATGCCACATTTTAATTATGACAGTAACTATGTAAATATAGAAAAAAAATAATTAAAAAACAGGTTTATGAATAGCAAAATGTCTTAAAAACTGATGAACTGTAGCCCTATCAAATGCCACTGATTTAGAACAGTATCTTCCTGGAAGATGAGTCTTGGTCTACCAACACAATCTTAAGGACACTAGAGGTATTGAAATGCATCAGCCAGAACTCAGTTTTAAGCCACTTTTCTAGCAAGCTCTTGGCCACACAAACTTTCCACAGCAAGCAATGAAAGCCTAAAGTGACATCTTGTTCTGGCACCCCATGACATGCTAAACAATCCATCATCATGATTGTTATGTGCCTGGCTGGTAAATGAGATTCACTGACAAGATCCATCTTCTGTCTCCAGACAGTGACCCTGACCATAATCTTGCAAGAAAAGATTTGATAAAATAGTCAAAACTAAACCTCTTGGTTCACATCCAATAGCTGTATCACTCAAAGGGCTGAACTGATGTGCCATCAATGTATCCAAGTGTTCATATTTGCTGGAAGTGTTTCTATGTAAGAGTGAGTACAAACACAAAGTGAAAGAAAACAGCAGCTCACCCCTTGAGTTCCAGCGAACCAATCGTGCATGTGATCACCGGCAGCTTTGGCAGCAGACATGGCACTGGACAGTTTACGTGCCTTGATGACCTCGGCTCCCCTCTGCTGCACCGTCTATCAAACAGAGACAATTACCAGCCATGTCATTCCATACTTTCAATACAAACACAGCTACTACTATGCAATACCATATCTCCATAATGTGAATACAACTCCACCATATGAATCCCAGCTCCATTCATAAATGAGAATTAACATTAAACTTTCAGTTACACAATGTTACAACAGTTGGTTAGACAAAAAGTTTAGGCACACAAAAGATATTCCTCCTGACAATCAAAACTAGAGAGAAAGACAAAAGTGCAAGGATTTAAATAAGTTCAAAAGATGGAATGAAAGAGATAAAACTACATCACAGACATCATTCTGGGCATCAACTGCAGCTGGCCAACATGAAGGTGGTCGATAATTAATTTAATCTTATCTATCTAAGTGGAGTCATTAGTGCACTGATTGTCTGTTGAGAGGTCATAACAATTTGTCCAAACATTCATAGAATGAGAATTAATCAGACAAATATAACCTTATCTTTCTCAGTGAAACCGCACTTCAAAAGTCTACTTTAACTTGGTATTATAGACAAAGAGCTGAGCTAATCATAAAAAGCAAGAGAAATCATAGTAGTAGGAAGCTTCAAGTAAGTAAATATCTATACATATATATATGTACTCATGCAGTGAAGTTGGACAGGACACACACAAGAAAACTTATTTACTGTATAACTAGAAAATCTTTCTGTAGAATGACTGTAGTTGAAGATGATGATGCTACATTAAAAGGTAAATTAAGATATCTCATACAAGAACCACTTTTCTTTCCAAAACAGACACCTACACAATGGTGAGGGATTACTCTAAACACCCACCTTGATAAATTCATTTTTCAGGTAATTGTCATCCTTGATTGCATCAGCAACTGGAACCACTTTGCCCTGGATCTCAACTGTAGCATGAGCAACATCAGGATACTGGGTGGAGGAATGGTTGCCCCAGATGATCACATTCTTGATTTTGTCACTGGTCACTCCCAGCTTCAGTGAAATCTGTTGATGCAATCACAAATAAGACTTTAAGACAAAACAAAGGAGATGCACAATACTAAGTCATCCAGAATGCCAAGTAATCCATTCCAGAGGGAAGACAATCAGTCATTTGTCTAAGACACATCATCATAAGTATTCTATCTGAGAAAACAGAATACTAAGCAATCCATTGTAAATACACTAATCAGATCTCCTGAACTTGTTACCCATGACAGACCAAACCCAGATGTCAGGACAACTTGGTAATGGAGAGCACAATTGCAACTCTAAAAGATTTGACAGCATAAATGTGACATGTGCAGAAACAAACGAGATGCAGACATTGTGTTACCGACAAGCATGTTTAAAAATACCTGTAAGGATGACTTCACCTCAATATAGCAGACAAATACAAATGTGGCAAACATGCACACACAAATAAGATACTATGAATGAAGATGACAGCAATTTTTTTTCAATTGACCTTTTAAAGGTTTAAGCAGACAATCACTAGATGCACATATATACAGCATCAGAAAGGGGATGTGTATGTGTAGGAAGAGCACAGAAAGACTAACAACTGCCATCTAAATATGTTTTGGCACAGTATGGAAAAGGATAGTATATGTATGCCTGTGTTCCAGAATGACAACATACAAGGCTGACTTACAAATGTACAGAACTGTGCTTGAAAAAACACAACCAGCATCGTGCCAGCCACTGATAATGTACACAAGCCAACAGGTCAGTGAGGCTTACCTGTGCCTGAGCTCTGTTCTGATCTAGTCGAGTCATGCAGCTGAAGTTTTCCTTGGGAATGGATGGGGCATACTTGCTGAGTATGCAGGCATTGGTGTTGGCTGGGTTGCCCACGACTATCACCTACACATGAAACAGGACAAACAGAATCAGTCATCTATCACACCAATTACCGACACAATCTTACTGCTTCTATCTGTTAATTTTCTGCCTTTCTAACTCCCAATAGAGCATAGGCCCTCAACAAGTTGTTCTATCCTTCACTATCGCATGCATCTCCCCCCATCTTTTTAAAGTCACTCTCTAGCTCCTTTCTCCATGTGTTTTGTCAGCGTCTTTTCTTCACCACTTGAGCTTGCTTAGTTCTCTCCCAAAGCTCTACATTTGTGACTATCACACCATTTAATACCTCTATTCTGCACAGACATCAGTTAATGAACATTGATAGTTTATTTTTAGTTGCCTTAGTTGTTCTCCATGTTTCTGCTCCATACAACAGTACTGATGTGACATCTGAATAAAAAGTTTTTTTAGTTTAGTAAGAGTTTTAATTTCAATTGACTTCCCACAAGCTAAATCAGAGACACACCTTCAGTCCAACTTACTTGTCTGGAAGGAAGAGCTTGAAAAGAAAGGGATGACCATCAGTGTCTCCAAAACTAAAACCATGGTGATCTCAAGAGAGGAGAAGAAACACCAGATCATGATGGGTCAGTATGCGTTGGAGCAGGTTAACCAGTTCAAATACCTTGGAGTTGTATTAGACCAAAATGGAGGCATTAAGACTGAGCTGGCTACACGAAAAGCAGCTGCTGGGAGACTCTTCCAGGCCATAAACCGAGGGTTTCTTAGCAAAAGAGAAATTGGCAAGAGGACATGGCTGTTTACCGCTCTACCTATGTACCAGTCCTGACCTATGGGTGTGAGTCATGGGCAATGACAACAGCTCACAGAAGCCAGCTGCAGGCCTCGGAAATGAGATTGAGAAAGGTGGTCCAAGCGACAAGAAGGGACAAAGTCCGCAATCAGACAATACGTCAAGATCTTGATACCCAGCCCTTACTAACCCGAGTGATCAGTCACAGTTTACGATGGTTTGGACATGTGTGCAGAATGGGAGAAAATCGGCCACCATGGCAAGCATGGGAGGCTAAGAACCAGGGAACCAGACCTCCGGGACGACCCAGGGTGCGCTGGGAAGACAACATCCGACAGTCCCTGACTGACAGAGGACTGGAATGGAACAAAGCCAGAAAGAAAACTGCTGATAGAGACGTCTGGCGATCTCTCTGGCAAACCTCTACACCCCAAGGTAGAAGAGGAGCGACTAAGTAAGTAAGTAAGTAAGACTTCCCACAAATTTCCTTGTACTATGCCTTTTATATTTGTATTTTAATCTCCCAAATCAGTTCCCCCATTTTTAATCTGCATTACTGCCCAAACAGATGTACGATCCCATGTCTTGGAGTGGGTTACCACCAAGAGAAACCACACTGCTATTTGCCTGATTTATTTTCACTGTCTTTGTCTTTCTCTTATGAATTTTCAGACCCAACTGTTGTGATCTCGCATCAAGTATATTTCACTTATCTTGCATCTGATTCTGTGAGTGGGACAGGAGAGATATATTAGGAAAAGTCCAGATCATCAAGCTGTCTTGTAGGGGTCCAGTGTATTCCAATCTTAGAGTTAGCAGTTGCTGGCTTCATAATCCAATCTATCTTCTTTATTTTCTCTTCCACCACTTACCTCAGCAGTGAGGTGTTGGGGGGAGATGTAAGGATCGTTTGTGCACTTTTTCTGATCCATTGTACAAGTTGGTGTTAATTTCTGTTAGGTTGCTCCTGAGGATGTCGTTCCATATAGAGTGTGTGGTCTTCCCCTTGTTCTGTGTTCATTATAGTTCTTCAGTGTGGCGCTCTGTGGCAGTACGTACAAGGACATTCTGGTCATGTGGCCAAACCATCTTTGTTTTTCTTTAATGAATTATATCCAATTTATTGCCAGTAAAAATAGGAGAGGCGACAAAAGAAATAGTTGCACACCTGTTTTTAATTAAAATGTATGTGTTAGCTTTCATTCATGAAGAACTTGACATTTCATGTCTTTCTATGTTGCCTTTACTAAGTTAATTACCTCCATGGTAAAAGAACAATATATTAAATCAAAAAACATTTCAATATTACAATCATCCATAGACTAAATCTTTCGTCATTGGAAAATCTCGTGAGCTGTCTACTAGTTCCTCTGGCATTCTTCTTCTGGACTTTGCTATTATATTTGCCAGAACATCAACAGAAGAATCAACAACTTCAAATATGCGCATGATACAATGTTATTAACAGAAACTGAGCAAGAGTTAGTAAACACAATGCGGAAAGAAAATAGACACAGTGCACAATCAAGAGTTGGATCACACTGACAAGATAAAACTATAAGTAGCAGCAGGAATAATAAGATGCAAACCACTCAAACCAAAGAAGCAGGGGAATAACAAGAGTCTCTTATTTTGGACATGTAACTTCAGTTGATGGCAGATGTGGAACAGAAATAGCCAGAAAAATATTCAATTTGAAGCAAATATCTACAGGTAATGAAGACAATTATGAGAATAAAATGTTATATACATTCAACAACATTATTTGAGCCATCTGGAAGTTAAAAAAAAAGGCACTCTGAACACAGACTTACAGAAAAACATACTATTTCAAGGAAACAGACAAATCTACAGAGGGCTCAGACAGATTAGGAATAAAACAGCTGAAGAAATAAATAATTAAAAAGACCAATGAAATATTTTGGCTAATTTAAATGACAAACAAACTAAACAAGTGTAGAGGGAATCATTGATGACATGATCAAGAACAGGCAGCAATACAAGTGGGGGGGAAAAAATGGTTACAAGGACCCACAACAGCTTGCCAGAACATACGTACAACCAGGGCTTCTGTCTGGAGAAAACAGGTGCCAGTAATCACTGAAGAGTTGAAACATGAACCGGCACTAACCACAAAGTGTGTATTACAGTAGTGCTGTGGGTGGGGAGGAATGATGCCTAAACAAGCCCTGCGTACAACCAGGGCAAGAGACAGTGCCAGACATTGATACTGCCAATCTTCACTGTGGAGATGGCACCTGACTGACAGATTCTACAGCCACAACCATTTTAGCTGCATGCCTAAACAAAATGTCCGGTCACAAGGTAATCCAGAGAAACTTGTTTCAAAATTTTAGAATTACACAAAAACACAAGTGTTTGTTATAAAACTACCTTCACAGATTTCTTGGCAAACTTGTCGATAGCCTGGCCCTGTGCCTTGAAAATTCGGACATTAGCTTTCAGCAAGTCCTTCCTCTCCATACCGTCCTTCCTGGGCATAGCGCCCACCATAAATGCAGCATCAACATCTTTAAATGCAACATTAGGATCGTCTGTTGCCACAATATCTGTAACAATAGAGAGTTCAATGCAAATGGATCATCTGTTGCCACAATATCTGTAACAATAGAGTTCATTGCAAATAGATCATCTGTTGCCACAATATCTGTAACAATAGAGTTCCTTGCAAATATGATGGTAATGCTTTTTTCTAGAATTGTTTTTAGTGAAAAAAAATACAAGGAGCTACAATTCCCTTTCATATCAACTAAAGAATTTTAGTTGAGAATCTCTGGATGCTGCTTCAGCCTTATTTCCTACAGCAGCAGTGGTGAAGCTGGTTTTCTATCTGGAGTAATGCAATGTTTTCTTATCTAGCTGGTTCATCAAGATCAGTACTCTAAAACCAACCAGTTCTTCACCAAGTGCCATCTTCCAGTGTCCAATAATCCTAGCTCTGCCAGGACAGTGACCAAAGGTCTCTCACACTGAGATAGTCTGATTTCACAACATCACATGTAACTCCATGGCCATGGCTGTGAAAGACATGTCTGGTTTGGGTGGCTAAGTGGTCAAGCCATTAAGCCAGGTGATATCAATCCTGGTGCTATATTAAGTTAACCCTCCCACACTCAACTTTTCCATTTAAAATCATAACTTCCCTGGACAGGAAAAAAACTGTTCACCTTGTCTGTGGTTGAATGTGTCACCAGTGTGACTACACCACAGGGCTGTTATTCCACCGGACTGGCATCCACACTGTGGCAGAAGAACTCAAATGCATGGGCAGAAAATCTACCAGTGCCCTTTCAATGATTTCATTGGATGTATGATGATAGTATTCTCAGACACAAATTCATTCAGCCAGAGTTTCTTGCCAATTCTCTTCACTGTAATGAGAAGCTTGGCTGATCATCCATTTTTCTTTGCATTCTTTTAGGTTTACAGAGGTTGCTTTTCTCCAGACTAGTTACCCAGAACGTGCAGATACAAACTTTTTTTAAATTTAACAATATTTAACTCAACTCTGCCCAGAATAAATAAATAACAATTCTCTAGTGTAAAGCAATAAAGTTATTTGGTTAATAAATCAATGAATGCAATATGTGAAGAAAAAAATTACTTTTCACAACGAACATTAAATCACACAGGTGTTAAAAAAAACCTTTAGACAGAATGACTTTAAAAAAGGATTAATCTTATATCACATTAGCTGACTTTATCATTATACTTTACCACATACAAATCCTAGGTATTTTACTGAAACAACCTTTGATTCTGTGACAACTTCCGACTCAAGAGCTGTACTTTACCGAAATGCCAGATTTTTTTTAGATTGAAACAACCTCTGATTCTGAGCCATCATTACTGAAACAACCTTGGATTCTGAATCCTCATTAGGGAAACCTCCTATTCTCAGCCCTCATTACTGAAATAAGCTCTGATTCTGAGCCCTCATTACTGAAACCTCTGATTCTGAGCCATCATTACTGAAATAACCTTGGATTCTGAGCCATCATTACTGAAACAACCTTGGATTCTGAGCCATCATTACTGAAACAACCTTGGATTCTGAATCCTCATTAGGGAAACCCTCCTATTCTCGGCCCTCATTACTGAAATAAGCTCTGATTCTGAGCCCTCATTACTGAAATAAGCTCTGATTCTGAGCTGTACTTCATGAGCTGGATGAAGATGAAGTAAATTATATTTAAGATGTTCAGTGCTGCTCTCTTTCGGACCTCTCTTTGTTTTGCTGATTACATAACAATACACAATGCTATCAATACAAAAATGTCACATGATCCTCCTCCAAACAGTGCAGAGCGATTAAACAAATTCATCTTGCCTGTCAAGAGAACAGCGAAGACTAAAATCAGTCTCTTAACTTTAGAAAGTGACATTGTAGTGAGTCATTTTCTCCTCATTAATTTATGCCCGATAGATGACGTCAGTAATAGATGTAAGACGAATGTTTTGACTGGCTGAGATAACACGAGATTTATGTCTTGAGTTTCATGAGAGACATCTGAAAGTCAGGTTTTATGTGAAACATGATTGTTCACAGGATTTGTGTGAAATGTGAATTATCACGGGCCAGACACGACTTTCAACAGTGGGAAATTCGTGAGAATGAATCCAGAATATTCGAGAACAGGATAGATCAGAGGGCTATATAATAGCGAAGAAAAGGTTTGTGAGCAGTCTCGTTTTGGACCTAGGAACAGTGTGCATGGACAGCGGTGGATGATGTGTGGATTCAGCAGATGTTTTTGTGAGTGAATTTGTTCCAGTCCAACTTGGCGAAAAAAGCTGGCCAGTAATATGTCTGCGGGTCGTCTGAGTTTGTCTGTCAGGACAGCTGCTGTGTTTCGTTCAAGATGTTAGTGTGATTGTGATTTCTGCTTGAAGGTAATATTTGATACTTGCATTATAATGTGTGCCTGGACAGTTGTCTAGTTCATGTGCCGGCAGTGTAAGCCGCGAGTGGAAGATTAAAGTACTGGAACAGTATCGTGTTGTTTTCCAGTCGTCCATTTTTCTGCTCGTCGAGTGATGTCGGTTTGTGAGATGGCAGCGAGCGTGCGATGAGGCAAGCCAGTAGAAGATAAAAGAGAATCATCGCAGACATAAGGTTTAGTTTCTGGGTGAAGAGACAGCAACTGAAATTTTGAGGGTAGAAACAAGACAGATACTCTGGACTTTGGCAGGAGACAATAAATCATTCCGTGGGCTGTGATTTAAGTGATCTCCTGCATAATACCTGCTACATATTAATGATAATAATAAAAATATTAAAAAAAAAAAATTTCAAAATGTGGATACGGATGGAAACAAGAAAGAAAAGTAAACAAACCTTTCACTAAGGGAATGGCACAGTCTTGGAGTTCCATGACCACACCCTGAAGTACACCCATCATTGGGGTGATGTCCAACAACAGCAGTACTATCGGCTAAGGTTTCATGACAACAGAAGAAATAACATTTGTAAATGCTAACTTCATAAACAATGATTAGAACAGCACAAACATATCTTCTTATTCTTTTCTCTACTTCTGGAATGCCTCAAACGTCAGGGCAGGACAGAATGTCTGGAACGGGTCTTTCTGTTGGCGAATCGGGGGAGGACGCTAAGAGGCAGCTGTGATTTCCACTAACAGGAAAAACCTAACAACTCTTAGAATAAAAACCGCACACCGACAATTATTGCCATCCCACACATGAACTGAAAACCTCTGTATTATTTCAGAACGTTGACATGGTATGCAATGATAATGCTTTCAGGTCGGCTGCCAAAGTAACGAGGTACACATTTTTGCCTGACACAGTTCACTACATGGCCAAGTTTTAAATTTTTTTTTAACAAAGACGTAGTTCACTAGAGCATGGGAACTACACTAACTGTGTAACAACTTGATTACCTTTGAGGCTATTTTTTTTAACAGTGCAAGCAGCTTACATTCACATCTTGTATGCAAGCAGCCTACAACTACATGCTGTATGCAAGCAGCCTACAACCAAATGCTGTATGCAAGCAGCCTACAACCACACCCTGTATGCAAGCAGCCTACAACCACACCCTGTATGCAGGCAACCTACAACCACATGCTGTATGCAAGCAGCCTACAACCACACCCTGTATGCAGGCAACCTACAACCACACCCTGTATGCAGGCAACCTACAACCACACCCTGTATGCAAGCAGCCTACAACCACACCCTGTGTGCAGGCAGCCTACAACCACACATGCTGTATGCAAGCAGCCTACAACCGCATGCTGTATGCAGGCAACCTACAACCACACGCTGTATGTAGGCAGCCTACAACCACACATGCTGTATGCAAGCAGCCTACAACCACACATGCTGTATGCAAGCAGCCTACAACCACACATGCTGTATGCAAGCAGCCTACAACCACACCCTGTATGCAGGCAACCTACAACCACATGCTGTATGCAAGCAGCTTACAACCACATGCTGTATGCAGGAAACCTATATCCACTTCTGTATGCAGGCAACCCACATCCACATCCTGTGTGCAAGCAGCCTACACCCACCTCCGGTATGCAAGCAGCCTACAACCACATGCTGTATGCAAGCAGCCTACAACCACATGCTGTATGCAAGCAGCCTACAACCACATGCTGTATGCAAGCAGCCTACAACCACATCCTGTGTGCAAGCAGCCTACAACCACACGCTGTATGCAAGCAGCCTACAACCACATGCTGTATGCAAGCAGCCTACAACCACATGCTGTATGCAGGCAGCCTACAACCACACGCTGTATGCAGGCAACCTACAACCACATCCTGTATGCAAGCAGCCTACAACCACACGCTGTATGCAAGCAGCCTACAACCACATGCTGTATGCAAGCAGCCTACAACCACACGCTGTATGCAGGCAGCCTACAACCACACGCTGTATGCAAGCAGCCTACAACCACACGCTGTATGCAAGCAGCCTACAACCACATGCTGTATGCAAGCAGCCTACAACCACATGCTGTATGCAAGCAGCCTATAACCACATGCTGTATGCAAGCAGCCTATAACCACACGCTGTATGCAAGCAGCCTACAACCACACGCTGTATGCAAGCAGCCTACAACCACACGCTGTATGCAAGCAGCCTACAACCACATGCTGTATGCAAGCAGCTTACAACCACACGCTGTATGCAAGCAGCCTACAACCACACCCTGTATGCAGGCAACCTACAACCACACCCTGTATGCAAGCAGCCTACAACCACATGCTGTATGCAAGCAGCCTACAACCACATCCTGTATGCAAGCAGCCTACAACCACACGCTGTATGCAAGCAGCCTACAACCACATGCTGTATGCAAGCAGCTTACAACCACACGCTGTATGCAGGCAACCTACAACCACACGCTGTATGCAAGCAGCCTACAACCACATGCTGTATGCAAGCAGCCTACAACCACATGCTGTATGCAAGCAGCCTATAACCACATGCTGTATGCAAGCAGCCTATAACCACACGCTGTATGCAAGCAGCCTACAACCACACGCTGTATGCAAGCAGCCTACAACCACACGCTGTATGCAAGCAGCTTACAACCACACGCTGTATGCAAGCAGCCTACAACCACACGCTGTATGCAAGCAGCCTACAACCACATGCTGTATGCAAGCAGCCTACAACCACACGCTGTATGCAAGCAGCCTATAACCACATGCTGTATGCAAGCAGCCTACAACCACCTCCTGTATGTAAGCAGCCTACAACCACACCCTGTATGCAGGCAGCCTAAATCCACATCATATATGCAAGCAGCCTACATTGTTTTCTTGGTCTGCCTGGTGGTCTACAACTATTAACAGCATTTACCCCTCTGTCACTTGACATTTTCTCAATATGCCCAAGCCATTTCAGTCTATTAGATCTCATGATGGCAGTGATCAATGGTGATTTAAACAGACTATGAATTTCACTGTACACGAAAGCTTTATTTGTTTAAATAATAATCTCTCCACAATGTAGACAAACCTGGTTTGGTCCAAAGATATCCCCCTTGCAAACAGAGTACACAAGGGAATAGGCAATCTGACCTGCCGCACCAGTAACAACAACTCTGATTGGTTCCGTCTGGGCAGCAGAAGTGAAAATATTGAAAAAGTAAACCATTAATTACATATAGCATTAGTGAAAAACAAAATATACAACTTTTAATTTAGAAAGAAGGCAACACCAAATTGAACTAAGACTGTGAGATTTATAATTATTTAGTGAATATGTTCTTCCCCTAATCCCCAAATGAAACATAGGGTTTCAACCACCCAACATCAAGTTATTACCTGATGCTGTCACATACACCTCATGCCTTGTCCGTCTGTTTCACTTCTCTCTCTTACTCTCTTCTGTGTTTTATGTTGTTTTCTGCCCTAATTCCTTTTTCCCTGTGGGTTTCTGTGCAAGGAACTTCTTGTTCTATTGCAATCAAGTTTTCCCAATGTGTGTCACATCTGGTGCAGTGTCTTTCCATACCTCATGATTCCTCAGAGTATGTTTAGTTCTTGAAAGCTCTATATCTGATTCTGGGCTATCTTCTGAATAACGGTCCCAAATTATCGAGGCCGAAAATATACCCTAACAGGGCCTCAGTCACGTGTCAATTGTGGACTTAGGTCACCGCCGAGAGTATCTCCCACGCCGCTATACGCGGTGTGGATTGGGGCTAAACTAGATGGCTGGGACTCACAAGCAAGTATAATAAAGGAAGCTGCAGGAGATGCGGTAGCTGCTGCTCGTGAGTCCCAGCCATCTAGTTTAGCCCTAATCTATGTCGCGCATAGCAGGGCGGGAGATACTCTCGGCAGTGGCGGTAGTCGCCGGAAGTCCACAATTAAATTTGCAGCCATGAAAATATGGGACCGTTATTCAGAAGATAACCCTGATTGATTCTGATCTACCACTTAATGGAACGTTTGTAGTTTATTATTAACTATTTTAGTTATTCTAGTTTCAGTTCAATACTACAGTAATTAAGTTGAACTTTCCTGTAACTTCAATGTTCCGTGAATATTACTTAAAAATTATATCAACTTTGATATAAATATTGACAAAAAAAGTTGTTTATTAAGCGGAAGTTGTTAGATAAATAAAAGGCAGCGAGAAAGGACACTGCTGATTAGTTAGTTAGTTAGTCTTTCAACTTGTGTCGAGTGCGGCACATAGGGCAGAGGTCGCGACTCTCCATGCACGGCGGTCCGTTGCAATCCGTTGTAGGTCTTGGATGTTTGAGTGGCCCATGAGCGAGCCTTCCCTGATGATAGTTCTACGTAGGGTTTCCCTTGGTCTTCCACGAGATCTTTTCCCCTGTGGTGTCCAAATGAGGGCTTGGTAAGGAAGTCTGATGGCTGATATTATTTTGCAAGCAATGACTTTAGAATTTCACAACTCCCGGGTCATCGTTTCTATGGGTTACCTTGTTTGTTTTATTGTTGTAAACTATAGCTATAGCATATCTCAGTGTGATTAACATTACTACTAATTTACTTTTTAAATGAACAGGCTTTTTATAGGCAGTTACAAAAACAGATATTATATTTGGCCAAGGGAACTCTTTCATTCTGCGTGTATGTGTGACGTGAGGGTTTGGGGAGAGCGACCTTTATGGAAACGCTGACTGGTAATTTGTGTGATGAATAAAACTTCTGCTTATGCTGGTTTCTAAGTCTTATTTTTTTTAAATTACTGTTACAGTAACTGTAACAATGAATATACATTTTCTCTTCTTCAAATTCTCAGTCCTTTAAAATCTCTTTCGCACACAAAACTGCCATCCCATGCTCGATCAATGATGATCTCTTACTTGATCTACCTCATTTTGATGACCTTTCCTATGAAGGGCACCCAACCTAGCATTTCCGTTGTGTTGTCAAGAGTTCAGCCCACAACATTTTGTTTTTGTGTATAGTTTTAACTGCCTAGAAAGGCTCCATTATACTGAACAAAACTTTTGATAAAAGCATCTCTCCTCTCACTAAGCTTTGTCTACTGTACTGTCTAACTTGCACTTTGTCCGAAGCAGCAGTTTCTGTGTACGTGTCAACTTTCAATCCCGACAGATAAGATAAGCAAACAAATATAACTCTCTGTGTCTAGCCTTGAAAGCTGATAAACCTCCAAAAAAAAAAAAAAACTATGAAGAAAAACCATCATTTACCCCCAAGCCTCATAATATTATAACTAACTAACGTCATCTGATTCTGATAAACTTGAAATTTAAATAACCAATAATATGACCATAAGTATGATGGCCCAGCAGAATTACCTCGATATATTAAAAGTATAAATGCGTAAATTAAATAACTAAAACTCTGATTTACAACTTACCATTGTAGAATATTGAAGTAGTGTTTCGCTGGCTTCCACACGGCGACCTGACAGACGACGACTGGCGTATTTTTCTGAGGACAAGCCTTGTTGCAGGTCAAGGTCAATATAGCGCCGGTGGCCAGATGTCCAACTTCGAAACTAATTTGTTTATTCTGAAAAATTCATTTAATAATAAATCATACTTTGACAAAATTTAATAAGGTATAGATTATATTAAAATGTATTTCGCCTTTAGTTCATTTTTTAATACGCAACTAATTGTCTTAGCAACACAGTAAACAACAATGTATTCGATTTCGGAAGATGTCAATGGCAATAAAGATAATAAAGATAAAGATGCTGGAGGTATATTTGATGATATCAATGTCAGTTAATGTATGCTATTATTTTGCATTATTACAATGCTTCTTTAATGGAGTATTGAAGAAAATACTTTTTTTAGCTGTACTGAATATCTAAAACATCTCGTATCATGATCTCACTGACTACTGACTTCCATAGAGACCATAGAAAACCTAAACACTAAACGCTATAAAAGTATAATATATAATATAATGTTAAATTCTAGTTATACTATAACATGCATTACAATTAATAGTATAGATATAATTCTATATTAATGATTATATATAGAAAATATTATTTATTACTGTAATGAAATAACACTTAATAGAATAGTTGGCGGCTCTCCTAGCAGATAAGGCCGGCAAGCTGGACGGCGTCGGTGGGCGTAGTGGGAGTTCTTTCCATTGGCCGCACTCAAAACAACGAGCGGAAAAAGTCACGACTCAAACACGACAGTGAGGTCGACATCAGGGCTGCCAATGCTTGGTTGTGTCCCCCAGATCTGGGTTTGTCTTTTGACGCTGCAGGAAAATCTGGGGTTTTTTTTTTTTTTCTGTGTGTCTGTCTGTGGGTGTTTTGCCGATCTGTAAGCTTTAATGACCGATAAATTTGCGTGGTTAGGGGTTGGGTTAGGGTTAGCGGTAGGATTAGGGTTTGGGTTAGGGTCAGGATTAGGGGTAGCATTAGGGTTACGGTTAGGGGTAGCATTTGGGTTATGGTTAGGGTTAGAGGTAGAGTTAGGGGTAGGGTTAGGTGTAGCGTTAGATGTGACAATTGTGATGCCGTAGTTCCCTATAATCGCGCACAGTCGCATGCACGCGCAAACAGTCGATTGACGGTGGATGCTACTGACACGGACAATTCGCCACCGAGTGGGCACTAGCCGCACGCTATTGCCGTCATATTTGCCACACTTCCAGTGGCGCCACTCCCACAAACATCAGATTGTCGGCCAGTATTTTGACCTCTTACGTGAAAATTTTCACATCTAACCCTAACCCCTAACCCTACCCCTAACCCTAACCCCTAACCCTACCCCTAACCCTAGCCCTAACCCTACCCCTAACCCAAAACCCTAACCCTACCGCTAACCCAACCCCTACGCAGCCCTACACGCAACCGTAGGATGATAGGTAACCCTAGTCGCAACCGTACGCAACCCTACACGCACCCGGATGATGATAGGTAAGTATGTCATTTGATTCGTGACTTTTTCCGCGACTTGTTTTGAGTTTGGCGAAGGGACATAACTCCCACTACGCCGACCGACGCTGTCCAGCTTGCCGGCCAAATCTGCAAGTAGAGCCTAGTTGGCTCTCCTTTGAATCGTTCTCCAAAATGGCGGCTTTAATATGATGGCGTTTCTTTTGAGAGCTAAATTGGCCAATTTCTGGCCAAAGAATATCCAAAAATATCAGAATGCGGGTCAGTTCTATTAAAAATATATGTGCCGGCTCCGGATAACGAAACAAATGCTCTGACAGGGTCTCGGTACGCGGGTCTTTGCCCCACCAGACTACGGGGTTTTGCCCCATTTTATCATAATTTAACATTCGTAACTTTTAACCAATATAAACTAACTAACCTCAACATGTCACCTCTATTTCTACTGTTAATATGTGTTACTTTTTGATGAATAAGATAAGTAACAGCTTTATTGCAAACTTTTTGTGTCAACGTGCACTGACAAGAGTCACAGTATTACATTAAAAGTTGAAAAAAGCAACTGACCTCATTTTCTTGGCTGGTGACACCAGGACTTGATTGAATTTTGGCAACCCACGTGATACTGTCCAGCCAGTGTCGGCCAAGCTAAAGCCGGCCACAAAAAATAACAACCAGAACATCTAAATGGACTGCATGTTTTTGCCCCACGTGGGTCTTTGCCCCGAGCTACCCTATATAATATTGCCTAACTTATGTATTATTTAAGTATTATTGTAACAGATTGTAAGAGCATATATTGCTAAGTTTAATATATTTTAAGTATAATTTTCTCTTTAATCCTCTTTAATGTGAATACAAGCAAGATTGCAGAACTTTAATTACCAGGTGTTGAAAGAATATTGATATTTGTCGATGATGTTCTTGCATATAGGCAGGGGAGAGATAAGCGACAGATAGCTCACGAGGTACAAGCAACTGTGGACAAAGTGACTGACTGGTCTGCAGAATTGGGTGCTGTCATCCACTCAGAAAAGGCAGCTGTTTTGTGGTGTTCTCCGGACAATAGAATTGTAAAAGATGGCGTTCCAAACCTCACAGTTCATAACAGTAACATCAAAAGAGAAAGGAAACTGAGATACCTGGGTATCATTTTCGATAGAAGCCTCTCCTTCAGAGATCATTTGGATTCAGTTGAAGTGAAATGCCAAAAAGGACTCAATGCTCTCAAGATTATGACAGCAATGGACACGGAACAAAGAATTGTTCACAATGTTCCAGCATGTGATCCTGTCGGTGATAGATTATGGACTTGGCATGCTTACCATATCAAAGAGTCAGCTGATGAAACTTGAACGCATACAGAATGAAGCCATGCGGGTGATTCTGGGATGTACAAGAGATACCCCGGTAGTATGTATGCGATATATACTTGCATTGCCTACTATTGCAGATAGGCTCAAAGTTCTGCAAGCGAAGTCATATCTCAGAGTAGCTGCGGACAAGAGGCACCTCCTGCATAAAGCCCTGGATAGAGCTAAGGGTCCCAGACTGAAAAGAAGAAATTCTTGGATGGCGCAAGCTGAAGACACAATTGGACATGTGTGCAGGCTTGATAAATTTAGGCAAGTAGAGGAGTGAGTCAAAGTGTCCGATCATGTTTCAGACTTGTGTAGGGTTCTAATCACTTTGGGACGTGAGTGCAGGGACTGGCCAGCTGGTACTGCAGAATCAGAAGTCCAACAAATGATTCACGACAATTCCCGCCCAAGTGATGTCATTAAATATACAGATGGCTCTGTGTTGAGGGGCAGACGAAGTTCATGGGGATTCATAGCGAAAGCGAATGGACGTCACTTGGTGCAACAAAGCCTGGCATATGATATCACAATGTCTAGTTTGAAAATCGGGGTGGAGGCAGTCCTGTGGATGAGCAGTCACTGCTGCCTTCCTTTGGCTTGAGAATCAGCTGTACACACATGTCATCATTGTAACTGACTCACAGAGCATGCTGAGAAAGGTGGAGACAGGCATGCTCCGGGTAGAGTGGCAAGCATCACTTCAGAGGTCCCGGGTAGTAAGCATCCTTTGGATATTTTCTCCAGGGAACGCCGGTGTGTTGGGAAATGAGCAGGCGGATAGACTGGCCGGTTCTGCACCACTTGGTGGTGAACTGATATATGACAAGCTGGATGTTGTAAGGGCCCTTTGGGAGCGAGTGAACAGTGCCGAGAAATAGATAGATCATTACGGTCTGAGGAGAATGGCACTGCAAGGAGTTACAAGGGGATCTGGCCGACACTCGACACTTGGGGGAGGGGCGAGACGGATATACAATGAGACTGTTACTGGTACCATCAGAATTTAAACTCCTCACTTGCTGCTGAAGATGGGGACGGAGCACTTATTGGAGTGTCCTGAGTGCTGTGATGTCGATTCCTAATTCAACATTCAACATTCAAGTATAATTTTTAAACAAAAATAACAATTATGGTGTGTAGTCTATCTTTGGGGATATTTAAAGTGATCAGAGATACAATTATTCTGGCTTACAATATATCAACACCTCATATGCTAATATTTCTTCTAGTGATATACTGTTTAATCCTTCTCTAAAGTTCTATAGGGCAGTGTTCTTTAACTGTGTGCCCGGCCTACTATGGGCCACTAAAAAATACAGATGGGTTGCAAAAATTTTGTCTAATCATGTAACAGGGTAGGGTAGGTAGTTTTTCTCTTCTAGAATTGAAGTCTGTAGGATTAACACTTCAGTGATGAGATTCAAACAAGAACAAATCCTGGAAACTCTGTTCAGCTTCATAAAGCAATTCTATTAGGACACTTGATGGTTACCGAGTAACCTGTAGTCCTATCTGGGCTGGAAATAAGGGCTTTAACTCATGTAACAGATATATGTTTCTGCCACTTTATTGCTACACGAGAATTTTTAGCATGGTTAGAGAATATCAATATTGCTTCACTTTGCTTGTCTACACATAGTAAGATGCTTATGTCATTGCATTTTTCCGTATTATTTTTTAGAACTGTGCTGGCCACCCCACACCCTCCCAAACTGAAGTTATTTATTGGGTGAGGGGGGGGGGGGAGGGGTATCACACAATGTTTTATCTGTGGTGGCGCCCCTGGATTAAAAAAGAAAAAGTATGCTGGACTGCTGCACTTTTTAACTGTTTCAGAATACACATACACACAGCTTGTTAAGACAGGCTGGTCAAGTTATAGAGGATTAATTATTACTGTATCCTCCATATGTGTGTTCCTGGGCCCCACTGTGGGAAAAACAAGAATAAACACACTGCCTCTCCAAAAAGCATCTGGTAGAAGTCTCATTTGGGGCTTCCTTCAGTGTCAAAGTGCATCTGCCCAAGCGGCAAGGAACAAGCAACTACACACAAGTAAGCCAGCAAAATGGATGTACACACAAAACTCAGACCCTGGCACAAAACCAAAGTCCAGATGGACGAACAACCAGCTTTCCACTGGAGCTTACAAAGAACAAGAAGATTGCTATATCCAAGTTGCAACACACAACTTATAGAGGTGGTCAATATTTAAGAGGTAATCTTTCACTGAGAATATGTGGTGACTGCCTGTTATCTTTTTTTTCTTCCTCTTTTTCTATTGTCCTGTATTGCCTTTCGGTGTCAGCTATTGAAGAAGCATTGGGTGAGAACCTTGGTATGTGGCATGTAGAAACTGGTATTTACAGCCTTGGGTTTTGGTTACTGTCAATGATAATGAGGTCAGTTTCCAGAGATGGTCAGTTAGGGAGATGGTCAACTGAGCTTCTTGAGCTTCTTCTGTACATGAATCTGATGCTGCCAACATTGTAACACCTATCAACACTATTTTCAAGTGAAAAGTCAATATTAATGTTTCTATTTTTCTTCCACAGATAACTTGTTAGCAAGCATCCAGAAAAAGATAGCAGATGCGTTTGACATTTTTGATCATGAGTCAAATAAAACTGTTGATGTTCGGTAATAAATAATTAAATAGTCTTTATTTTCTTAGCTCATGATAATACTTTTCACAAACCTTTCATTTTCAGAGTGTATTTGGAACTGTTGTCATAGCATTATTTGCCTGAGTTCAACACTTGTGTTTCATAGTTATATTTCTGAACCCCTCTTCAGCAGCTGTTTTTGTTTTGATTCATCATTGACAATTTTCATACAGTTAACTATCATGGATAGACTGTAACTTTGGTCCTTTGTGTGGAAGCCTTTGTGCTTTAGAAGCCAGATACTTTAGAGGCTGGACAAGTAACTTTCTCATTGTCAAGCACCCCTGCCTGTGAGGAAGATAGTTATCAAGGCCAAAGTTAATACAGTGGTACCTCTGAGTTCTTGGGAATTAAATGTTTTATTTATTTACATTTCTTTTACTTATTAATAATTTAGTTAATCTATTAAATATTTACGCCACTGTGAACTCTCTAGTCACACACAAACACTGGGAATGGCTCAAAGATTTGGAGGAAATCCCGATAATAGGCTTCTTATTTTCAAGAATTTTAGTGCAGGGAACAGAGTGTGGGACAGTACTGGGGAAAACATACAAGGAAATACCCTAGCAGAAGGTATGGTAAATGCATCCATAGTCTGTATAAAAGAAAGTACGCCAAACAGAATGAGATCTGGTGATGCAGACACAGCTTTTGACTTGTCATTTGTTACACAGTCAGCAGTACTAGACACAAATTGACTGTCATGACGATCTGCCATGCTCAGTCTTGATTTCTAAAGCCTCAAGATCAGGACTATTAGAATGCTAAGATTTGTAAGTATGAGTGGGCTAACACCCTTCTTGGATACCTTGGACAGAAGGTGTGCTACAGAACAACCAGCTTTGTTTTTGTGGTGGACCCCAGAACTTGCTTGAACTTGGGTTTCTAGAATGACACTGGTGTATTGATGAATTAATAAAGTTGAATGGAAATATGTGAAATACATGATAGGTGGCAAAACGACTTACCCAAACAATAAAGGTAACTCACTAGCATCCTCACAATCGCATAGACAAATTTTCAATCTGAACAGATGCATTAAACTGCATTTTTGGAAAAGGAAGAGCTCCTGCAAAAAGGTTTGGATAGTTATCGGCCAGGAAAAAAACCCTGGTCAAATGTGGCCACTTTTGCTTTTGATGTTTATAAAGGGTTCCAGAATAGACATGAGATGGTTGTGGCAACACTTGATCTTGAGGATGCCTAGAAAAAAAGTCAAATATGATATTTTGATATCTGCGCTCATGGAGAAAAAAGGTTTGTCCCTGGCTGGTGAACTGGACAGCAGCTCTCCTGCACTCATGTTTAGTTCTGCAATTTCACCAGTGCTCTTCAATGTGTATACAAGCAAAATTGCAGAACTTGAAGCACCAGGGGTTGGAAGGATATTGACTTTTGCAGATGATGTTCTTGCATATTTAAAGGGGAGCAATAGGCAATGGATAGCTCAAGAGCTACAGGCAACTGTAGACAAAGTGACTAACTGGTGGGCAGAAATGGGTGCTGTCATCAACTCAGAAAAGGTGGCTGCTTTGTGGTACTCTCTGGACAATAGAATTGTAAGAACTAATGTTCCAAACCTCACATTTAATGACACTAACACCAAAAGAGAAATCAAACTGAGGTACCTGGTTATCACTTGCAATGTAAGCCTGTCCTTCAGGAATCATGTGGAGGCAGTCATAGTGAAATGTCAAAAAGGACTCTATGCTCTCAAGATTATAGCACAGATGGACTTGGAACAAAGAATGTTGTTAACAATGTTCCAGCATGTGATCCTATTGGTAACAGATTATGAACTTGGAATACTTACGATATCAAATAGTCAGCTCATAAAACACCTACAGAATGAAGCCATACAGGTGATTCCAGGATAGTACAAGAGTACACCAGTAATATGTATGCGAGGCACAGGCAGAAGACACAACTAGCATGCTTGAACATATTTGGCAAGGAGATTAGTGGATCAGAGAGGCCGAGCAGCAAGCAGATTTTTAGTGATTAACGAATAGTGATTAGAAAGGATTATCATCACAGAACTCCAGATTGATCCATAGATGCTCTGATCTCCTCCTCTAACACTCCACAAGTGTAAAACGACTGATAACACCTGTTCTGTGTTGGTTAATGAAATGTCTTGTCTCCTTAGTGAAATGTTCATTTCTTGCAGCTCCAGGCTGCACCTCCATGTCTAGACAGGAATACAGAGTCATGTCTTTTGGCATGCTTCTCTGTATAGTAAGTGCAGCGCATTGCATTGATAACATCACTTCTGTCCAGTACTGGACCAATCGTGGCAACCGCAGTGTAAGCAAGATAGTCTGCACGCTCATTTCCTTGAACACCCTCCGCATGACCTGGCACAAAGGTGAAGGTTAGGGTAGCTATTCTTGAAATGCTTAGTGTTGCAATCTATTTTTGCCTGATAAATCCAGCTTGGATTGTTTAAGCATATAAGCAGATTTTTGTAGAGTTCTAGTCACATTATGTCAGGAGTGCAGGGACAGGCCAGCAGGTGCTGCAGAATCAGAAATTCAACAACGGATTCATGATAATTCTCACCCAGTTGATACGATTATCCACACTTTTGGCTCTTTGTTGAAAGGTTGAAGAAGTACATGGGGGTTCATAGCAAAAGCAAATGAATGACCCTTAATGCAACAAAGCCTGGCATGTGACATCACAATTCATAACATCTAGATTGAGAATGGAGGTAGAGGTGGTCACTGCGGCCTTGCCTTGGCTTGATTATCAGCTGCATACAATGTTGTGATTGTGACTGGCTAGCAGAGCAAATTGAGAACGGAGGAGATAGATGTGCTTGTTGCAGAGTGGCACACATCGCTTCAGAAGTTCAGGGTAGTTAGCATCCTTTGGATATTTGTTCTAGAGTATGCAGGTATGTTGGGAAATGAAAGGACAGACAGATTGGCACTAGGTGGTAAATTGATGGTAGATGTTGTCAAAGCTTTTTGGGAGGGAGTGAACTTAGATACTTAGATAGTGAACTTAGAGGCCTACTTAGATTCTCATGGTCTGAATAGTGCAAGAATGAGTGACTATGGGATCTGGCTGACACACCACACTAAGAGGAAAGGCAAAACAGACTTACAGCCAGACTGTTACTGGTACCATCAGAGTTGGAACTCTTTATAAGCTGCTGAAGGTGAGGATTCAATGCATATGGGAATGTCCTGAGTACTGTGATATTGGTTCTTAAAACTAAACTAAATACTTATAATAAATACTAAGTTCGGTTATTACTTCTGAATGTATTTATATAAATACTTGTTAATAGCAACATTCAGATCTTTTTTTTATTATTAGAGCATAAATCTAGATTAGTTTCAAGAATGGGTGTTAAATGGCTCTGCATGCTTATCAAGAAACAAATTTCTGTTGAATTGTTATTTCTCATTGTAATCCATAACTCTACAGAGAGGTGGGGACAATTATCAGGTCCCTTAACTGCTGTCCCAGTGAAGCTGAACTTCATGACATGCTTGCTGAGGTACGTCACATCAATTATTTGTCTTCTCACACTCAGATGCCATAGTCATAGTGATTAGGTTTTTCTTACCATTATCATTGTCTTGGTTAAACTCCCAGAAATGGCAAGGAAAGCCACTGCCCCCCCCCCCTCCCCCTTTTTCCTGTATGGTTCTGGGGTAACCAGATTTATGAAATTATTTTTTTTTTTGGGACCCTATTCTTCTTTCCCTCCTTCTTTGGATTAGTGATTAGTGAAGACTATCACCACAGCACTCTGGATAGATCCATAGGTCTCTCATCTCCTCCTCAATAGCTTTACATGAGAAAAATGACTGATTGTGCCCTTTATGTGTTGATTAATCAGACATCTTGTGCCCTTGGTGAAATGTTTATGTCTAGGTGCTCCAGGTTGCACCCCTGTGTCCACAAGGAGGCTGAATCCTGCTTGTTGTCACAATCTTCTTTGTTTAGTGCATTTCATTTGGCATAAGTGATATCATTCTTGTCCAATGCCAAGTCGGTGTTAGTAGCCGCCTAGTCCGCCAGATAATCTGTACACTCATTGCCTTGAACACACACATGGACCAGCACAAAGATAAAGGTAAGGTGAGTTATTAATGAGGAATTTAATGAAAGAATCCATTCTTATCTGATGAAGCTGGCCTGAATTTTCTTGAGCATCTTCACTGAATCGTTCAGTATGCTTGCGTGTGTATTCTTGAGTACCAAGCCATGTCAGTGCCCTTGCAGTCATAGTCTCTATCTCTTATGGACTACCATATTTACATACAGCGGACAGTACTTGTCAATGTCGCTGTTGCTGTCATGCCGTGTTTCAGCCATAAACACATGCAACACATAATAATTGCACAGTGTATAACATACACACTGGCTGCCCTTGGTTATCTGGCAGTGAAATCGACAGTCCTTGACATGTTTAAAGTGGAGAACAAATCTCATTATTTTTACACCATTACCTAGTATTATGAATATGCAAAAAGAAAGTTTTTTTTTTTTTAGTTAATGCAAAAATAAAAGTGGAGCTTAGAATTACACAAATGAAAAAAACAGCCAGTCCAGTTTGATGTCTGAATTCAGTTTAATTACAGAAATAAGCTAATCTCACAAACTACCAGCAGAAGAATTGCTGGCCACAAACCAAAAACTCTGATAGATAGAATCATGACCAGAAATTTCATAATTTATAGGTCAAGCACTGGACATGGTCTCAGTATATTTCACAAAGGAAGTAAGAATTAGTCAGAAACACATACTATCTGAATTCTTGTGTGTCATATAATGTTGGAGACAACAAATAATTAGTATTTGAGATTATTATCCTTGTAAAATAAAAATTTACTTTTTTAAGTGCATAGAAAAAAAATATAATTAGTCAGACATTAATTAATCAGCTCAAGCAAGAATTTCCATCAATAAATAAGCTGTGTACACAGAAATACATGTACTTTAATTTGGGACCCTTCTCACATCATGACACATCACTGGACATATGATGCTGTTTATAGACCAGTGGATATTTAACTGGAAATATCAGTGGCTTTTACTTCCCATTGAAGGCTCAGCTGACCTGCGTGCCAAGATCAGCTCAATTGACCTGCTTGCCAAGATCAGCTCAGTTGACCTGCGTGTCAAGATAATTTAAACAAAAACAAAATAAAAAAGCCGGTGCTTTATCTATTTGCATAAAGTTATTTTTCTATTTGAATATTTACAATCCAGATTTTGTGATAACTATAACAGGCTCAAGTGAAACTACAGCATAAAGTCTTCTATTGTCTTACAAGAAGAGAGTTAGTGCTAACAGCCAGTGACAAATACAAGTTTAATTTGCACATTTTTTTTTTTGCAAGGTCGAAGAGGAAGAGTCAACTGGGTATGTCCGGTTTGATAAATTCTTGCCTATGATGACTAAAGTTCTGGTGGAACGAAGGTAAGATTGTTTGTTTGTAAACTGTTTATTCTGCTGTATTCTATTGTTTCATGTCCCATCAAGATTGTTTACTCTCTAACTATATTTTCCAAAATATATCTAGTATTTTGTTTAGTATATCTAAGAACAGGTAGAACACTCAAATCTGTATTTCACTAGATAGTGTAGTCTGTGTGGGTGTGTGTGTGTGTGTGTGTGTGTGTGTGTGTGTGTGTGTGTATGTGGAAGGGTCGTGCATGTGTGTGTGTGTGTAATACACAGTATTAGAGAGAATACAAAAATTAGATTTCTAAGAGCATGCATATTTCCAAATGCAACATACGCCTGTGAGATCTGGACAATTACTAAACAAGCTGAACAGCGCATAAACGCCTTTAAATACAAATGTTATACATGGGTTCTAGGAATACCATGGGTAAAGAAAAGAACAATTGCACCCATACTTCAAGAACTGAATATTGAAGAAGGTTTGCTATTAACTCTTTGAGTCCCAAGAAACGCATCATACGTTCATAGATTCCTACTTAGAAGCCCAATTAACGCATGATGCGCCGATTTTACGTCTCTCTTGACTACCCCTTGGGCCTGTTATGCTATACCCGCTGGGACTAAAAGAGTTAAAGATGATGAAACACAGAAAATGTAAGTATTTTGGTCACTTGAAATGTCAGAAAGTTTAGAGAGAACAATAATGGAGGGTTATATGCCTTAAAAGAGAGGAAGAGGAAGGCTAGAGAGAAGATGGGTGCAGGATGTGGTGGATGATCCCCAGATGGGTGTAATGGACGCCAAAAATCTTGTTTTCTGGAAGGTTGTTATGGGAGCACAGTTTTGCAAAGGACAGGCTACTGACTGACTGATTCAGAAAGAATAACATAAAGTTTGTGTTTATCTTTCTTACTTTCTTTTATTGGTAGTTTCCCCTTCTCTTCTGAAGTCTGAAATTCTGGTGTTTTTTCTTTCAAAATCAGTTTTATTTGTAAACTACAAGTTTTCTGGTTACATTTGTGTTTAAGATATAAAGCTGCAACTGAAGATGAATTAGTAAAAGCATTCCAGGTGTTGGACATAGATGGGAAGGGTTTTTTAACAGCAGAAGAGCTGACAAAGTACATGACAGAAGAAGGTTTGTGCAAATTTGTTTCTGACATTTTACTTATTTTTACATGTTGTTAAATATATTTATAACAATTTGCAAATTAAAAATAAAATTTTAAGCACATTTTGTGTATCATCTTTCTTGATTTAAAAATTGTAATATTTATTAATCATTATTCTCAAAACCTTTTCAAATATTTCCATTAGTAACATATGTCTTTACAAAAAACATGTCAGATGTGTATTTCAAGATTTTAGTTTCAGTTATTTTATATAAAGAGCATTAATTTAAAACCTCTTCAGTGGCTTTATTACAAAAAAAAAAAAAAAAGCATCAACAGGTTTGGCTGAATTAAACAGAGCATTCATTTTGAAGAAATTAGGCTACATGGGTTGGTCACAACAAATCACCCTTTAGGCAAGCATCTCATTGCTTAGGTATGCGGCAAAAACTGTCAACAAAAAAGGATTGTGGTTGCACACTGAACCAAGTGTTTTCTATGTTTGTTACATCTGTGTGTGTGTAATCATTGCCCCTTGAGAGTTTTTCTTTACGATGTCCAGACAAATGAAAATCATTCAGTGACAAATCAGGTATATAGACTGGATGTTGCAGAATGTCCCACCTCTTCCTTGCTAACTGTTCCTGCACAATCTTCTAACATGCAGATCAGCATTATCATGTAACAAAACTCTACCATGAGAAAGTATGAGGAACATTGATTCTTGTTGGCTTTATGCAGCTTGTCTAGTGCTTCAAAGTATTTTGTAGAGCTGACACCAGGTTGTTTAAAGTCTGTCAACAAAAGCCCTTTATGGTCAGAAGATGTGCTCAGCATAACCTTACCAGTTGAAACCTATAACTTATTTTGTGTGTGTGGATGATCCAGTATGCTTTCATTGCATACTATCCCTTTTGCAGCTTGGCTTGAAGTGGTGACACTATAATTCATTGTCTGCCACTATGCGGAAGAGGAATGCATAACCTTCCACTTTGTAATATAGCAAGTGGTGGTACTCTCTGGTATTGAAGTTTCATGTGAACAACCTTTTGAACTGTCCCAAATGACACTGTCTTCAATAAGATGCCCAAGTTACTGACAGCTAGAGAGATAAAGAACATACTAAAAATTAGAATTGTCAAAAGTTATGTATACTTAGTCCTGCTAAATGGTACGGAAACTTGGACAAAGAACCAGCAACTAGAAAATCAGATTGTGGCTCTAGAAATGTGGGTGTACAGAAGAATAGGTCTTATTCCATGGGGGAAAAAACAGTCTAATACAGAGGTTCTGGAAAGACTACAAATGAAAAGAGAATTACTGAAAGAAATAAAAAAGATAATTGGAATACTTTAGCCACATTAAAAGACATAACACACATTTAAAAACCATACTGGAGGGAAAGTTCAAAGGCAAGACAGCAAGAGGTAGGCAAAGATACAAGTGGTATCATCAAGAGATGGACTGGCAGCAGTCTGAGAGAGTGTACAACCAGGACAAGAGACAGAGCATGTTGGAGATCCATTGCAGCCAGCCTTCATATTGGAGGCGGCATCTGACTGATTGAAATGACATAAAATTCTTTCACTGGCGGACATTTGCTTGGACAAGGGGTTCACCTGTATTTCTGCATCAATTTTGGCAACAGTAAAAATTTTTTATGTTGCAAGAATACACGTTTGACCTGGCTGTGGAAAATCTGTCATGAACTCATGTCCTTTACGTAACATTTATGCCCAGCCTGTCGCTGTTTTCTTTGATAAACATGTGTTACCGTACGCTGCATGCATTATGCAGTGAATGTTCTCAGGTTCAAGTACAAGAAACTAAATCACCCCTTCTTTCAGCTTCTTTGAATGGATTTTCAATCCAGCCGGCTGTTTTCTCAGTGGGCAGAAACAGAACCTGTGCATCATGGGAAGATAAGCACCTGCTCTTTCATTCATTTGTCATCACTCATCACATGACTGGGACAAGATTAAGATCAACGCACTCAAAAACACTTAGTGCCACATAAATGGGTTTCAAATGAATGCTATTTATAATTCAATTTACTAACTGTTTTCATTTTATTTTAAAAGTTTGGTTTATTTTTTTCTGTGTGTGGTGTCATACATCACAAAAATACAAACACATAAAACACTCTCAGATATAGGGTGACCATATCATTGGGATAATGTGGTCTTTCAGCAGACCCAAATAGTCCTGTCAATTAAAAACAAAAAAAAAGCAAAAAAAAAATTAAATTTTACCTACCGAAGTTGAGTATTGATGGGACGGTCTCAGCCTACCTAAAAAAATGATAATGTTCCAGCGATAACTATGGTCATCCTACTCAGGTAACCATAAATGCCAACACAAACACACTGTATAACTTTACATAGATATACTGTATGTGTGTGTGTATATATATATACTGACTAGAGAAAATAGCAAACTAAAAGTAAGATTCACTGAGTTTACTATAATATTTTTAAAGGAGAACCTTTCACACAAGAGGAATTAGAAGAAATGCTTTCTGCAGCTGTTGATCCTGACAAGAAGACCATTTTATTCAAAGATTATTCTTCTGTGATGGCCGTGGAAGAAGTGTGGTGAATTATTATTGCATTACAAATGATGCTGCCATTAGACATATTTAAATATTAGACAAAGAAGGTTTAACATTGACCATTCTATATTCATATTTTTGATAGGCCAGATTAAAATGATCCAGAGAGATTTCTTGAGAATTGTGTATTATTGGCACTGAGAAATGGGCAACATGTCACCATATTTGGTTGTCTTCATGTTTAATTTCACGTCAGTTAAGTGTGATATTTTTGTAAACAACTCTTTGCTTATTATAATGGACAGCTTATTGCTGTTCCATCTTTTGGCATATAAGTTCTCATTGAATGCTGGAATCCTAGAGTTGTGATAATCTTAAAATCCTTTTCTTAATTAGATGTGTTTAATTTTGCCATGAAATGTTTTCTGTCATGGTATTCATTAAATGCTGAGTGCCTGCTCCACAGACACGCATGTGATTAGGCCAACAGTCTCAAAACTGCTGTTTAGAGTTGGAAATGATTTTTTTTTGACTTTGCCATAAAGTTCCTGTTGTTTGTTGCATGTGATTTGATGATATTCTATACTTTATATGTTTACTGGTGTCACAAGTAAGTGAAAGTCAAGCAACTTAAAAGCTGGTGTTAATGGAACCTCTGGTTTGTGAATTCTTTGTAACACAGAAAATATGAGGAAATATGAGGAAGATTTTAAAGCCATATTTGTGTTTCTGAAGAATACATAGAACCTGAAGACAAAAGCTGTCAAAATTGTCTTTATTGAAATGTTCAACAGAATTTCAGGGTTGCATATTAGTTATACATGTTAGGAAATAGTGACAGTCTTTTCAAACAAGTTCTTGCATGAACTCACTCTCTCTGAATTGTTCATTCAGCTGAATCACTGTATCATCAACTAAAACAATAATTAATTATATTAAAAATATTATTCTCAAACAAACAAAGTTATAGGATAAACAGAATTGAAGTGACAACCTACGGAGCAGACAACTTTTATCTCCTGTTATTTGGCATAACCATTGACTAGGTGATAAAAAATAAAAGTTGTGTTGGAAACATCAGCATTGACTGGGTGGAGAGCACACAGTCAGAAGATCTCGACTTTGCTGATGATATTGTCCTGCTAAGTAAAAACAGCAATAACATGCACAGAAAAACAAATGATTTAGCAAATATAGCATCAAGGGTTGGACTAAAAATAAGCTAGGAAATAACAAATATGTTGAAGACACCAACAACAGATCAAGCAGATGTAACACTAGAGACTAAAGTAATTAAAGTAACAGCTCAGTTTACTTATTTAAGTATTAATTTTGATAGTGAAGGAAATAAAAAAAAAATTACAAGGGGAAGTCAGTAAGTGAGTCACAAATGGTTACAGGAAGCAGGAAAATGTAGTTGGTGTTTTGTAAACGTGTCATTCAGTGACATTATGTCTCTGTTTGTTAGGTGGTGCTAGGTGTTGCATGCACATTTGCAACACAGAAACAGAATGGTGACTGTACTTACGGAGTGAACCCTCAAAGAACAACGTGATGTTTTGTGGGCAAAATTGCTGCCTGCAAAGGACATTTATAAGGAAATGCTTCCTGTTTATGCTGACAAATGTTTATCCTATAAAGTGGTGCATAGCTGGGTAAACAATTGTTTTCCCTCAGGGACTCTCTAAAATTGCTGATGAGGTCCCTGTTAAGACTGCAACAGACGCATCTGTGCAGTGGGTAAAAGAGATGATTAGAAGTGACAGGCAAGTAACAGCTGACTCTGTATCAGCTGTAATAGGGTGCTCACATGGTTTAGTATGCAACTTAGCCCCTAGCAATTTCCACCTTTTTGGTCCACTGAAAACCCACTTTGGCAGGAGACATTTGGTAAATGACGCAGAAGTTGAATTTGAAGTAATAATATGGTTAAAGCAGTTTTATGCAGCAGGTTTGGGAGAAAAGATAAAATGATGGGAAAATACATCAATATTGTTGGAAATTATTTTGAAAAATAAAGGGACAGCGTGTCTGTAAAAAATAAATAGCTTTCAAGTTGTTATTATCTTTAATTTTTTTTTTTTAAACCACCATTTGTGGCTTAATTAATGACCTCCCCTTGTATGACACACGTTGGCAAGACGTCAGCAGCTTTTAATAGCTTGAACAAAATATAAAAAGTAAAGGACCAGTTTCCACACCTTTCAGGTGTATTGGGTATATAGGGCTAGACCTATATTTTATAGACCAACGGCACAAGATGGGTGATGGGGTCAGCATCACGCTGGCCACCTTTATTTCCTAGGACTGCCCCTGGTACCAACTCAAGGCTGGGTAGACTTGGGAGCCAAGGTCATTTCTGAAAAAAGTCTAGTTCTGCCAGAGAGCAAACCCACAAGCTTCCAATCCGCAGGCGAGCGTGTAGCCGCTATGCCATGGCGACTCCCTTTGAACAAAATATGGAACTCTGAGCAACCACTAGTATCAACAGTTATAAGACACAAGATGGCGCTACATTGGACACATCCTGAGAAGAAACCAGCAGAGAATCATCAAACAGACATTACAATGAAAAATAAAGGGATTAAGGAGGCAAGGTCACCCAAAAGAAACCCTAAGACAAACTATAAGAGAGGCTTAAGCTGCTGGGCTGGATTCCATCCATGATATTGAGCTGATTGCACAAGATAGAATGGACTGGAGGAATAGACTGCAAGCCCTATGTGACAAATAACGGCACAACAGGATTATTAAGGAAAATGAATGAATGAGTAACAGCCTCCTAGAATAAACAGTTACAGTAACAACTCTGGAACAGAAGGAGGGTTAAACTAACAACTTCCTGGAATGAACAAAGTTGAAGCAATGACGTCCTAGAAAATACAAAGTTAAAGTAACAACTTCCTAATACATACACAGTTAAGATAACAACTTCCTAGAATAGAAAAAAGTTAAAGTAACAACTTCCCAAAATATACAAAGTTAAAGTAACAACTTCCTTGAACAGACAAAGTTTAACTTTGTCTTTTCTAGGACGTCATTGCTTCAACTCTTAAAAATAAAGAAATCTTTCTGGAGTAGGCGTAATTAAAGTAACAAATTCCTAGAATAGATAAAGTTAAAGTAAAACAACTACTTGGAATTGACAGTGTTAAACTGGCAACTTCCTAGAATAGACAAAGTTAAAGTAACAACTTCTTAGAAAATAGTTAAAATAGCAATTTAACTTAGTTAAGGTAATAACATTTACAAATAGCAAAAAACTTAATGAAACAGACATAAATGAAATTGAACTGAACTTCTTAAAATGGAGTTGAAGTAGCAACTTCCTGTGATAAACATTTAATTTTTCACATTGTAATTAAATACTGAATTGTAGCATATTTTGAAATGCCCTAAATATTGCATCACTAATATATGTTCACTTAACAATACTATTTCAATTACTTAAGGGCACATGCAGGTTCTTTATTGTATTAATAAACAGTAGATAGTCTATTAACGAGTGTCTTTGGTGAGACGATTCAGTTGTTTGCCTCACATTGTGCAGATTGTGGGAGAGATTTTGGACCCAGTCCGTCTACTTGTAAATGCAGGTGTTTCAGAGATCCCTAGGGAATGTTGCTGGCAATACAGGCTGTGTGTGATGCTCTCTGCAGATACACTGCTGCTCTGTGGGGAGAGATATTTTGAATTAATAATTTACATCATAGCACTTGGGACACTCCCATAAGTGCTCCATCCCCATCTTCAGCAGCAAGCGAAGAGTTCCAATTCTGCTTGCACCATTCTGATTTTTGTACATCTGTCTCACCTTCTCCTAGAGGGTTGAGTGTCGGCCAGATACCCTGGTAACTTTGCAATGACATTCTCCTCAGATTTTAATGATCAATTCATGCCTTCACTAACTCCCAAAGGGCTCTCAGAACATCTAGCTTGTCATACATCAATTCACCAACAAGGGGCGTGGAATCGGTTAGTCTATCTGCATGCTCATTTCCCAACACACTGGCATTACCTGGGGAAAATATCCAAAGGACTCTAAACTACTGGGAATTCAGAAGCCATGTTTGCCACTCTGCATGGAGCATGCTCCTCTCCACCTTTCTTACATGCTCTGTGAGTCAGTTACAATTTTGACATGAGTGTACAGCTGATTCTCAAGCCAGTGAACACAGAGCCATCTGTATAGATAATTATAGGAAATTAATATTCATTTCACCTGGGCAGGAATTATTAGGAATCATTTGTTGGACTTCTGATTCTGCAGCATCAGCTGGCCAGTCCCTTCACTCCGGAGAGATTGATCATATGGGATACTGCAGTGCAGTGAAGTTACGAGTGAAGTCTTGCCTCTTAACACTTTTTAGTCAATTGTATCAAGGACAAGTTGAGGACAGTGATGCAAAGTTTAGTAACATAGACACAAATTATGATGAAAGTAGCTGTCAAGCAGATATTAGGAAATGACTAAACAAAACACAAATCATCTCATCTCATTTTGATCCTCTTGTACTCTGCGGTGTCGAGATGAAGTATAATAAGCAGGAAAATTGCTGTTTGTGTGCATCTTAAATGGGGATTCCTAGAACTCTGATATTGCCTTTGTCCATAATTTGCATGGTCAGACTTTTCTTCGCTTCCTGCTGCATCTGTACATCATTGCTTGTTGTGGTATGCTGCTTGCTGGCATCCACATTATATGACCAAACCATTTCCTTTTTTGGTTTTCTAATCAATCCAGAGCTGCCACTACAAATATACACAAACAAATATATGTTTCATTTTATAATAGCTCTTCCCATTCATATTGCCTCCTATTTCATATTTCCAGTCTTAAGCTAACATCAGTTATTTATAATTTTTTTTTCGTTCATTGATAAAGTGTGTATCTTTGCCTTTCTCTCCATTGAACATTCTAGTCATATTCTGTCCTGCGACTCATTAATTCTCTTCTTGACAGTTGGCCTGCATGATGTTTTGGGTGGTCAGTCTCCCCCTCAAACAGTCCTAAAAGGAACAAGGATAGCTGGATTTCTTTTGTTTG